GATCAACCAATAAAATCAAATGCAGGAGTCACACAGGAAAGCCTGGGAGCCATCTGGTCAACCATCTTGCCAGTTTCCTAGAGTAAACTAGAAAGAGTTTTCTTTTGCTTCCTGTAACCCAGTGAGGGGAAGATCATCTCTGAGGCCTGGGGCCTAATGGACCATCTTATCAAGGCTGAAGTAGTCACATAGTTGTGCAAGATGCTCCCTAAAGTCAAGGTTACCCCACATCAGTTGGAGCAATCCCTTATACCATTACAACATTCTCTTCTCTCACTCATGCATTCCCTTGTTCCTACTAAAGCAGAGGCAAACCAAATAAGCTGCGTCCCCATTTGGCAGATGGGGAAACTGAGACCCATAGAAGTTCAGTGGCTTGTTCCAGGTCACACTTGGGGTCAGTGCAGTGATGGTGATTAGAGCCTTATAACTGAATCGCTCTGGCTCCTTGAATACCAGGAGACATGTTGACATTTAGTGGTGGAGGTCGGCCTCTCTCCTTCCTTCTAGTCCATAACTGGCTAATGGAAAATAGCCCAGGCATGGGAGCCATAAACCTGGACTCTTTAAATCAGTTAATATCTCCTTCTGGGGATTTGGTTTTCCCATCTGTTTAATGGGCGGTATCTTGCGTAGCACTATGACTATCCCTAAAAGCCTGACAGTATCATCTCAGCCAGTGAAAAGACAGGAAAGGATTTCAGGATCATTAAAAAAAGTTAGGGTGAATGTTTGAGCTCTGAAGTCAAAATATCAGATCAAATATAATCTCTGCCACTTACTATTATTTCTGTAAGTTCCCTCCCCACCTTTGAATTCAACTACCATGCATCTTCTGTAGATAAGGGACAATAACCCCTCCCCAAAATAGCTGTTACAAGAGTAAAAGAGGCAATGTATTCTAAAAGCCAAGTATTGTTCTTGGGGCATAGTAAATGCTGAATAAGTCATAGAAAGACTAGTGATAGTGGTACCTGCCGGGTGTTACTTCTTGCTGGCTGATACATGTAGCCACTGAGATTGGGCCAAGAAATCCTGTGCTAATGGATTGTTTAGAGCAGCAGTTCTCACCCTTGACCAATCGATCAAGATCACTGCACTGGGGACTGATGCTTAACAACGTTCCTAGGGGACCTTGAGGATCACCCAAGGTTGGTAATCAGTATCTTCAGGGACCTGCTTTGATGGCCAAATAATTGACATATCAGTTGTTTGTAGGTAAACAGGTGCTCAGCCATTTAATAGTTTAAACACTCCCCGATTGGCACTTTCACTACTAATTAACTCCTACCTAGCCCTTCCTTCTCTAGGTCATGAGCAGGCATTCCCCACTGGGGGTTCCCAATTAATAAGGTTTAGCCGGCTTGGGAGCCTCTGGGAAGCAGGCAGGACTAATTATGCTCTACCCCCCAGCCCAGCCCCCGGCCAAATCCTCTCCCTGTCCTTCATCAATCTTGTCCTAGCCTCCAGCTGGCTTGCATTAGCTCCGGTTTTCCAGCCCCCATGGCTGCGACTGTAGCTGAGAGGTTGAGCCAGTCCAGGCTGGATGGATCTGTCACCCGATCCTGGGTCTGTGCCGCAGCCAGTCCTGGAATCTGGGGCAATGTGATCCTGCCCTGCGGGAGCTCCTAGCCAGCCAGGGACGCCATGGCGGGGCTCAGAAAATCCCAGCTATCTGGGGACCTCTGACTAAGCCCTGAAGGATCACGACCGCTGACTCTCAGAGCACCTCCAGTCTCAGCCCCTCACCTTAAAGAATGGGAAACTGAGGTCCAGAGAGGTGAGGTACCTCCCCTAGGTCACACAGCCTGTTCACTGCAAAGCCCACACCGGAACTTTAATCTCTCCACTCCTAGCTCTTTCCCCAGCTCCTTCTGGAGAAGTTCTGTAGACCTATCGTCTGGGTGATGGGGTCTGATATGGGAGCTCCTATCTAATCCAGACTCCCAAGGCAGAGGATATGAGGGGAAGGCAGTTTTTTAACTAAAGCACATAATCCTTTTAACCCAGATAAAATTAGACAAATTTTAAGTCATTTGAAGTTGGAAATTTGAGGAACAGCAGGAATGAAAGTTTGGGAATAATTGAAATAAGGGCAATAAGTAAGTTTTTTAAAATATCTTTTATAGACATAAAAGATATAGACATAGACCCCGCTTGTTAGCACAATTGAGGAATGCAAATGGTTGGATTTGACACAGGAACGCTCACCTCTGAAATCTGAGTTTGCTTATTATAACGTCCACCTAAAGGTTTTGCTTTGCCCAAAGGTATGGAAACCTAGACTATGAAATGGAAAAATTTATAGAGGAAAGCTTGCATTTTTGTCTTCAGTGGTTGAGAGAAAGGTCAAGATGGTTCTTCAAGGATGTATCTTTCTCACATTATCCCATTAAAAAGGATACCTGGATTTTACCAGTCTTACTTGGACATGCTTCTCTTGTACCTTCTAAAAGGTTTGAACCAAATATTTGGACAAGAAGTGGTTCTGTTAAGGGTGTGAGGGTGAGGACGGCAGAGGCCATATGGCTAGCTGGTCTTGGCCTTCAAAGTGTTAGGATGTCAAGTAGCTCTTGTCTAGAGAAAGTCAAATGGCCACCTTCCCTCAGAGACAGACTGGAAGTCAGAGCCTGGAGCTGAGGAAAAATGTGCCAACCTTTTAGTAAGAGTTGTCGTATGTCAAGAAAAGGCTTGTTATGTCCCAAGGGCCTTGCAAGTAAAGTATTTTTATCCCTATTATATACTTAAGAAAACTGAGGTTAAGAGCAGCCGAGTGGCATACCTAAGGTTGCTAACTTACACAGTGACAGAGCTGGTATTTGAACCCCAAAACTTGTAGGATTCAGAAGCCAGTACATTTTTCTCCAATTTTGGGTAGAAACATGGAATACTACATTCTTCAGGTTGGGTGAGGTACACTGGTTCACATGTCTTGCTCCTTTTGAGTTTTATTTTCTTGTTGCTCTCCTGCAGAGCCCATAATATCGTTTAGGAAGGTTGTAGTCAGCACATGTCACCTGTGGTGTCTGCACCACAAGCCCCCGGCCCCCCTCAGATTTTAGCCACTGCCCAGTGGACAATCCTTCCTAGGTGAGCTCAGACTCACTCTCCGTGTCCTACCTCAAGCAGAGCCAGTCACTGAATTTTGATTCATGGTTCCCTGCTGTACTGCAGAAGCTTGATCAGAGCTTGCAAATGCTGTCTGGAAGCTCAGGGGAGTCAGCCTCCCCAGAAGCAATTTTCAACCAGTGAGGGAGGGAGACAATGAAGGACGAGTCCAGCTATCATGGGTCGAGTGGCTTTTTCGGCGAGGCATCCGTACATTTCTCAGAGGTTCCAGCAGAATCAAGCCCCCTGTGTCGGCAGACCTCAAGGAAGCAGGCCCTCATCTTGGCTTTTCCTTTCCCCTGGTTCGTTCTTCCTACCTCCACAGGTCTGCATCCTGGACCACCTTCTGAGCAGAATACTTGCATTAGATCCTTGCCAGAGGCTCTGCTTTCAGGGTGACCCAAACCAGGATGGTGTGCCTGTGCCTGGAAGGCTGTGTGAATTAGAAATAGCACTGTAGCTGGGGGGGAGGGGAGGTAGGGGAGGACACACAGTGTGGTAGAGTAGCAAACGATTTTTTTTTTAAGATTTTATTTATTTATTTGAGAGAGAATGAGTGAGAGAGAGCATGAGAGAGGAGAAGGTCAGAGGGAGAAGCAGACTCCCCAAAGAGCTGGGAGCCTGATGCGCGACCCGATCCTGGAAGTCCGGGATCATGACCTGAGCCGAAGACAGTCGCCCAACCAACTGAGCCACCCAGGCACCCGAGAGTGGCAAATGATTTTGAACAGAGAGTAAACTCCAAGGGATGCAGCAGTCAAGACCTCCTTTCCTTCTCTACATATAAAAGATTCTCTACATGTAAAAGATTCTCTACATATAACATTCCCAGAGGCATCTGAGTGGCTCAGTCAGTTAAGCATCTGCCTTTGGCTCAGGTCATGATCCCAGGGTCCTGGGATCCAGCCCTGTGTGGGTCTTCCTGCTCAGGGGAGAGCCTGCTTCTCCTCCCTCTGCCCCTCCTCCTTGCTGGTAGTGTTCTCTTTCTCAAATAAATGCATAAAATCTTTTAAAAACAATAAAATAAAATTCCTGGAGCTCCTGGTGTCTGTGCCCAAAAGGGAGGCATCGCATGGCTTAGGAGACCAGTAAAGACCTGTGACTTCTTGAATTTGTGGCGATGGCTGGGGTCATCACTCAATGGGGTGTTTCTGGATGGGGCTGTCCCCGTCTCTAGTTAGGGCTATCCCTCAGCACTTGGTGGTGGCTTTCCCAGGCTGTCACCAGTGTGGGGCTGTCTCAGGTAGGTCACTTTCTGACCACGGTTTCAATGAGCCAGTTTCATTAGTCACAGAGTGCGGGTCCTACATGGGTGGGGTGGGGGGCTGTTTTACGTAGTAATATCTTTGGAGCTGATATCCAGCCACATCCTAAGCCTCTGTATAAAAACAAAGGGGGAGAATTTAACCAGCTGGAAAAATCAATTTAAATGCTTAAAGAGAAACAGTAAGGCCTGACACCGCTGCCTCATTTTCACGAGGTGAGTCACTAAAACGGCTGACCTCATGGCTAATCTATGAGCAAAGGCGCGCTGGCGGTTAGTGCTGGCGCGGGGAAGGCCTCCGACCTGCTTCCTGGAACCCTGGCGCCAGGCAGAGGCCAGAGTAGCCCTGTGACATTAGGAAGTCAGACTACGTCTCCAAGGAGTAAGTTCCCAGCTCAGAGGCTCAGGTCTAGCTGCGACTTAGTGGTTGGCCAGTTTCATGGGAGAATCCCCTTCTCACAGCTACTTGATTGGCCGGTTCCTCTCCCCACGCCTTGGTCGAGTCCACTAAACTCTCCAAAGATCTTGTTCTCTGATTGGCAAATCTCACCAGCCAGTCCGCGGAAAAGAAGCTGCTCTCACACACCTTACCTCCAATTTCTATCTCAAGGCTAGTTCCGGCTCTGATCGTCTGAATGTATGCTATTCTCATAGGCCTCCCTTAAATACACGTGCTTCCTGCCTCTTCCCTCTCCTGTAGGGTGAAGAACAAAATTTTGCTGGTAGGTGAGATCGCACTTTGAATCCCAGCCCAGCCACTCCTTACCTTTATAACTGTAGCCCAGCTGTTTAACTTCTGTATGCCCCCAATTTTAATAACTAAGAGCACTAGAGTTAGGTGGCTTATTGTTTGATAGCTGTGTGATTCCGAATGGATTACTTAACTTCTCTGAGCCTCCTTTTCTTCAGCGATAAAACAGAGAGAGTAATACCTCAGAGACTCCTGGAGAGGATTAAATGAGGTTATTATGCATGTAAGGTATGTGGCACGTAAGTTCTCAATAAATGTTAGCTATCCGTTGTGTGTTTAGAGGGAGGGGAACTTGGAGAACAATAAAGACCCAGTCTTGTCATCCCGTAATTAAGGACTCAGTCCAAAGATCAGCTAGTGTGCAGACCCAAGTAATGGTGAGTGATATTATGGACGTAGTTGTTATCTTCCTGAGTGAGGGCAACCCCAGGGTCTGGTCCTACCTGGGCCTGTCTCTTGAGAGATGTCCCTCAGTAGTTTCCGGTGTGAGTTAGAGACCCAGGAGGGGCAGGAGAAGGGTAAAGAATGTTGCACTGAAACCAGTGGCTCTGAGAGACCTAGTGAGTAGGGTGGTGGCAAGAGTATTGATTGTGGCTTTTAAATATGCTAATGCAGTTAAAAATGAGCATTAGCTCATTAAAAGCTAATGAGCAAAGAAAGCATTAGCAAAGAGAGAAATACATACTTACAGGGTTCCAATATAGGATAAAGGATCTGGATTCAAACACATTACTACAGGATCACAAAGTGCAAAGTTTATGACAGAAGAAGGAAGATCTCAGGGGCGTTACTGGGCATCTTTGTGCTACTCCATTCCCTGTGGTTGCCCAGTAACCCTCAGTAGCCATTCTCCCAGTCTTTACTTGGTTAAACAGTTGCAAGAACAAGATACATTGTACTGATAAAAATGAAAAGATCACTGGGTTAAACAAAGGGCACAAGAAATTGCTGTATTGGTTGGTCAAATGCAGCTTTTGGAATTCAGACTTTATTTTGTCAAAGAATGTTTCACCTGCATTTATTCCTCTAAAATTTTCGGGTTAAGCCGTACTATGCCTGAATTATTTTCATATGCAAAAATAATATACATACATCTGGTCAGTATGTTGGAAAGCCCTTTGAAAATTGGTCATTGCCTGCCCTTTGCTAGAGGAATCTGGAAGTTTGTGTCAACACTGGCCAGGGTAAACAGCTGGGCCAGCGCTCACTGCATTTGAGACCTGGCTTCTTGTTAGCAGAAAGTGTATAGACATCTTTGTCAAAATCAGGTGTCAGGGATCAAAAATAATTTTTTTTATACCTGCTGATGTATTTTCCTGTTCCAAGTGGTTTGGGCTTGTGCCCTAAGGCATTTTTGCCATCAACCTTTGGGCTGGAGTGGAAAAGAAGGAGGAGGGTGTGTAGGAGAAGCCCCATCATACAGGAAGCGGAGAGAAAGAGCTCTTAAATTGCTAGGAAAGGATGAGACAGGATGAGGATGTTGCCTTAGGTCAGGGATACAGGGTACCAGGTAAAATGAAAGGTACCCCAATGGATACACTCACCCCCAACAGGTTTAGGAAATTTTTGCAAGTGGGCAAGCTATTGTTGCATTTTTTCCCAGCCCCACCTTCATGCTGCAAGATGTATCTAGACCGGTAGCCTGAAGCAGTCTCTGGGTGCCATGGAAGAGATCCAGAAGCTTCTGCTCCACTATGGTAAACAGAGATGGTGGCTGAGAATTGAGAATTGGCAGGCTTGCCCAAAGGTTTCCCTGCAGTGGAGGTAGAGGGACCCCACCCCACTGTACAGAAGTAGGAGGATTCCCATGACAAGGGGGTGCAGGTAGGCAGCTCAAAGCTGAGGATGCAGGTGGAAGTTGTATCTCTAGCAGTAACAGCTGGAGCAAGAGCCCAGGGGCAATGAGGGGGCCATCTCCCAGAAAGCAATTGCCACATGGTTTGCCTGTTCTGAGGACACTGCAAGATATCCAGCCACAGATCCCTCAGCAGGATGAGGGAGGACGGGGTTCCTCTCCAAAGGGTTTGAGCTCCCCATTCCCGCAGAGCAGCAGAAGCTATATGGCTCAGACCCAAGGGCCCTCTCCCTCTTGGTGCCCCTGCAGTACTCAGGGAGCAGAGAGGGAGGGGTGGGCAGAAAGCCCCTGGAAGGGCTGAGAACCCACAGCAGAGTGAGTTCACCTCGAGAGTAAGAGGGGATTTTAACCAGAGGAGCTGGAGTATAATTTCCCCCCACCTTTCATTTGGAGACTTTGAGGCAAGATAACAAAAATATTTAGGGAACAATAAAGAAACGCATATTTCCTTGCAAGTCTGAACTGTAATGCATACATTGTAATCCACTTACAAAAGTATACAGTGGCCAGTGGCATTGTCCTAAAAAGCAATGCGAAACCAACTGCCTTAAATCACATTTCCTGCGTTGTAAAACTCTCTCAGTTGAAAGGATAATAGTTTAAACATTTTTGTGTCATCTGTTCCAGAGCCTACAATGGTTCTCTGATCTGCAGATTCTTTACGGGAAAGGATTAGAGTTCATCATTTTTCATCCTGTAATTGATACACTAACTGCCTATCGAGACCCAGATTTCAGAGGCAAAGTACAGCTATTGGCTTTGTCTGCATATCTTACTCTGAAAAAAAAAAAAATGGGTGAAAAATCCAGTGTGGCAGACACATGAAAGGTGTAAAAGCAATTCTCAAGTGACCCTTCAGAAGCATTATTAAGTTGCTTTCTGTAAAATCATTAAATGCCAACCTGGAGAAAACTTAAGACTGAATTTGCTGGGATGGTTACTTTGAAATAGTACAACTTCGGTGCCTGATTTTCTATAGTGTGTGCTACAGTTTGAGTGATTTCTATCACTTTTGACTTTGGCAAAATGTTCTTTCTCCAAATTTAAACTAATTCAAGATCCCACGGCTGATCAATAAGGCTCAAATGGCTGGAACTCTGTGCAGGCATAGCAACCTCAGCATACCTTTTGTAATTTGCATAAAGTTCTTCATAAGAAAAGAGTATTTTTGATTGTTATACTGTCAAGAATTGTTTAACATTTTCAGTTTTTTTTCCAATGGGGTGTACATTTGTTTTAACCAATAGACCAATGAAATTATTGATTGTTAGTAAATTTATATGCCTAGAAATTACATGAAGCCTTTTTTATTATATTCCGTGCTGGGAGGAGGCATATTATATTTCACACTGGAGCCATTTTTCCTGCCAGAAGGTCTTGTTATTCCCAAAAGACCTGCCTGGAACACCTACCCTTGTAGTCTGTGGGCCAAGTCACCTCCTTTAGGAAATGTGCTCACCTGGGCAGTGAAGACAACATGAGAGGGAACCTGTGAGGTTAAAGGTAGGAGAGAGCCACAGGTAAAGAAATGCTTTTCCTGAGCCCTTAAGATATGCTGGGCACTGGGCCAAGCTCTTATGAGCAAATCCTTGCCTTAAAAAAAAACAATTTTCTGTTGAAGTATTATGTACATAGAAACAAATGCACATAAGTGCACAACTTGATTCTCATAAAATTGTGTAAGATGTGCACACCTGTGTGTTTAGCCCCAAAATTGAGAAACAGACCATGACAGCACCCCAGAAGCCTCCCAATGTCCTGTCCTAATCCCTTCTGACCCTCCCCAGGATGACTACTATCCTGACTTCTAGCAACATAAATTCAGTCTGCTTTTAAAAAGTTTTTTTTTGGGGGGGGGGGGGGGGGATAATCTTAGACCGTCAACAAGTTGCAAAAGTGGCACAGAGAGTTCCTGCATACCTTTTGCCCAACTTCCGCCAGTGATGTAGTATTGAACCATAGAACAGTATCAAAACCAGGAAATTGACATAGGTACAGTAATAGTAACTTAGCTACAGGTGTTATTCAGCTCTTGTCAGTTTTTACATGCGCTCATATGAAATTTATCACATTACATAGATTCATTTAATCACCACCACAGTCAGGATATAGAAACGTTCTATCACCGCAGTTTTCCTTGGTTTTGAACTTTATCTAAGGGGTGTCATACAATATACTTTCATTCGTGGCTTCTTTTGTTGAGTATTATGTTTGCAAGATTTATTACTGTTGCTGTGTGTCATTGTACTTTGTTTATTCTCCTTGTGTTCCATTGTGTGCGTATCCTACAACCATTCATCTCTGCTACTGTTGGTGGACATTCTGGTAGTTTCAGTGTTTGTTATGAGTGGGGCTGTTACAAACATTCTGATGACTAGATGTAAGCATTTCTGCAGGATCTATACCAGGGACAGGATTGCTGGGTCTTACATTATGTGTATGCTTATCTCTGATATGTACAGTGAATCAATTTTCCAGAGTTGTTCTACCAATTTACTTTTCCATAAGCAGTTCAGAGTTCTCGTTTCCACATCCTTACCAAATCTCAGTATTTTCTGTCTTCTGCCTTTTAGCCATGCAGTGGTATGCGTGTGGTACTGTGTGGTGAGTTTACTTTGCATTTCCCTGATGACTAGTGAAGGTAAGCACCCTTTCATACATTTATTTGCCATTTGGACATTCTTTTTTGAGAAGTGCCTATTCAAGTCTTTTGCCCTTTGTAAAAGTTGCACCGTCTTTTTTCCCCTCTTGATTTGTAGGAGTTTGGATAACATGCTTCATTGGATATGTGCATTACATTCTCTTCAGTCTGTCTGTTGCCTTTTTCTTTTTTTTTTAAACGAAAACTTTATTTTTTTAGAGCAGCTTTAGGATCTCAGCAACTTGAGTGAAGGTACAGAGAGTTGCTATATACCTCTTGCCCCCATTCCCACCCAGTCTCCCCACTATCAACATCTGGCAGAAGAGTGCTACATTTGTTATAATCAATGAACTTACATGGACACATAATTATTGTCCAAAGCCCATAGTTTACATTAGGGTTCAGTCTTGACGTACTTTCTGTGGATTCGGAAAAATGTATGATGGCATGTCTACCAGTATAGTATTTTTTGGTATGGGCATATGTTTTTCAACTCATTTGGGTAAATACCAAGAAGTGTGATTGCTGGATTGTAGGGTAAGAATATGTTTAGTTTTGGGGCACCTGGGTGGCTCAGTTGGTTAAGCGTCCAGCTTGATTTCAGCTCAGCTCGTGAGCAGGAGTCAGGCTCTGAGCTCAGTGGGGAGTCTGCTTGAGATTCTCTCTTTCCCTCTCCCTCTGCCCCTCCCTCCACTCACATGCTCATGTACTTTTCTCTCTCTAGATAAATAAACACATAAAACCTTTAAAAATGTGTTTAGTTATCATTTTGGGTCTTTTAAAAAATTTAAGGATTTTTATTTATTTATTTGAGAGAGAGAGAGAAGGAAAGAGAACACAAGCTGGGGGAAGGGCAGAGGGAGAGAGAGAAGCAGGCTCCCTGCTGAGCCTGCTGAGCCTGATGCAGGGTGCTATCCAAGGACCCTGGGATCATGACCTGAGCCGAAGGCTGCACTTAACTGACTGAGCCACCCAGGTGCCCCAAGAATATGTTTAGTTTTATAAGAAACTGCTAAACTGTCTTCCAAAGTGGCTGTACCATCTTGCATTGCTATTAGCAATGACTGAGAGTTCCTCTTGTGCCACATCCTTGCCATCATTTGGTGTTGTCAATGTTTTGAGTTTTGAGTGTTCTAATGGTATGTAGTAGTATCTTATTATTGTTTTAATTCGTAACCGCCTAATGAATACTGAGCATCTTTTAATATGCTTACTTGCTTTCTGTATATCTTCTCTGGTGAGGTGTCTGTTCAGATCTTTTGCCTGTTTTTACATTTGAATTGTTCATTTTCATATTGTTGAGTTTTAAGAGTTCTTCGTATATTTTGGCAACAGTCTTTTATCAGATATATCTTTTTGCAAATATTTCCTCCCAGTGTGTGACATGCCTTCTCATTGTTTTGATGTGTTGCTTTTCTAGTTTCTTAATTGCACTTCTGATGAGCAGACATTCTTAATCCTAATATGGTCTAATTTATTAAAAAAATTCCCTTTTTGATTAGTGCTTTTAATGTTCTATTCCAAAAACTTTCATCTATTTCAAAGTCACAAAACTGTTTTAGATCTTGCTCTAAAAGCTTTGTGTGTAAACTTTCACATTTAGATTTGTCATCCAAAGGGAATTGATTTTTATGTATAGAGTGAGATGGGGGTCAACATAGTTATTTTTTCTCTGTAGATATGCAATTGTCCCAGCACCATTTATTGGAAGGATCATTATTTCCCGGTTGCACTGCAGTGGCATCTTTGTCCTAAACCAGTTGTCCATAGATATGTGTGTCTGTTCACATAGATCTATTTTATTCTTCACAACAACTCTTCGGAAGAGGAGAGCTCTGGACTCAGAACTTACTCAACTCCAGACCAGAGCTGCTCAACAGAGACCTGACCCGAAACTGGCTCGAAGGTGGGAAACTTTTGTCATTGGAGCGAATCCTGTGGGCTTTGTAGTCTGGCACATTTGCACTTGAGTCTTTATTGTGTGGCTTTGAATGAGTTATTGACTTCTCTGAGCCTGTTTCCAAATATGTAGGATGCAGATAATAATAGCATGGTGACATGGAACTTGAGAGACTTAGATAATTAAATGTATAGTGTTGTTGTTGTTTCTCTCTGTTCTCTTAAGAATGATGAAGAGGAAGGCAGGGTGATTCCACTGCTTCCTTTGGGTGCCTTAGTACACTTCGAGTGCCCCTCTCTGCATTTCCCATCTCCCTCCTGAAGCTCCTAAGCGATTGTCCTTGCGAGGACAGGGGAATGCAGAAGGTTTGGAAGGCCTGCCTCCTACGGGGAACCAGTTGCTTCTCATCCTCAAGGTTTCTACTTTCATCAGACCCTCTGCTCTCTAGGGAGAGCCTCCCCCTGGGGAACTTAGTAAGTGCATGCAGTTCCAAAGCAGGCATGGGATGCGGGCAGAGAGAGGCGTCAGGCAGCCCTCATTCCTGGGCTTGACTCAGTAGCTCATCTACGTGGAAGATCTTAGATGAGCTGCTCCCCTTCTCTGGGCCTGAGAGTCTTACCGACAGTGTCCCCAAGTCTCCTCGGCACTCGTATTCTGTAGCTTCTTAACTTCTTACCGCAGTCTGTGGTTAAGTTCCACAGTAGGTTCCCAGAGATGCTGCAGAAAAGGCTCTCACCACACTCTCGGGGTGAATCTGTTCCCAGGGGAGAGCTGGATAGTGTGGCTGCTGTTCTTTCTTACTTGTCCTGAGGACAGACTCCAAAATACGAAAATAGCTTTATGCCCAAAGATGCTTACCACAGTATTGCCTGTGCTGGTGAAAACACCCAGTTTGAAAATAATTGCTCAGCTTTATGCCCCATCCGGGGGCAGCTGCACTGGTATTCCGCACCATGGATTCAGCACAGAAAATTCTAGCGTCGGCTTGGTTTCGGGAAGCAGGCACAATACTTGTAATAGAATCATTTAGCCGAACATTAAATATTTTGATCACACATTATGTCCTGGACTAAGGAATGGCTTTATGAAGGTGACTTAGACACTCTCTCAGCCCCCAAGGAGGTCACAGTTTAGCCAAGGAGGAAGAACCCTAAGGAATGTGGTAGATGCCAATGTACGTGCTGGATTGGAGGCACAAGAAGAGTGCCAAGAGAGCCCAGTGAAGAGAAAGTCTTTTTGATGATCTGATGGGAGCTCTTTGCATCCTTCTGGGAGAGAGAGGAAGAGGCATGGGAGCCTGAGGCTACTGAGATTGGAAAGAAGCAGAATCCAGGTGTTACTCAAGAGGTAGAATCAATGTCCTGTGGTCTGAGTGGATGGGGGGGCGGTGATGAGTCTCAGGTTCCCAACTAACTGTGTAGATGGTGGTACTTCTCCTGAGATGGGAATTCCAGGAGGGGAAGAAGTTGGTGGGAAGTTAAGGGCTGTGTTGGGTTTTAGCTGCCTAGGATGGGTTGTCAGGAGGCAGATGGGGGATAAACTGGGGCTCAGGAAGAGAATGAGGTGAGGTGAGTGACCTTGCTTTGGGTCTCATCAGCCTGAAGTTGCTGTTTGAAGACTCGGGAGGAGAAGACATATGCAGGAGCGACTGTGAGAGAGGAGACTGAGAAGTCTACCTTTAGGGAAGGGACAGGAAGTCATGGGAAGGTAAAAGAAGAAAAGCCCGTGAATGAGGGAGACAAAGAGCAGTCAGAGGAGACCAGGAGCAAGAGGCTCCAGAAGGAGGCAGCTGCCCATCTGTCTTATAATGCTGGTAGGTCTGGACAGTTGAGGATGTATCTGTTAAATTTAGTATGGAAGAGGTGGGAACAGGATCGTTTCTCTGGGTGAGGAGACCGGGCTCCATGCTGCAAGGAGTTCTCGATAGTGGGAAAGCAGAGGACAGTGAAGGAAGTTAACTCTTTTGAGGAGTGTGGCTAGAAAAAGAAGGAAAGAAATTAGGGCAGTGACTGGGCATGAAGTTGGGATGGTGGTCACAGCATTCTTTCCACCAACTTCCAGCCATTCAACGAGGTCCCAGTCTGCTTTGGGACCTTTCTTCTCCAGGCCAGGCTTCTCATGGGAGAAAGGGCCAGGAACAGCTCTCTATTCTCTCTCCCTTTCTGTGTGTGTGTGTCAATAGGCATGTGTATGCCTGTGTTCAGGAAGCTGGAGTGAGAAGCCACTAGGTCAGAACTCTGGCTTTCCACTTGGTCTGGAGGAGCCCTGGGGCAGCCCCAAGTTTCCTGAGGGGCTGGGCCTGCATCTTTTTCTCCAAGATGAGGCTGAGAAGTGAGAGGCAGGCTGTGGACCATCAGGATCTGTCAGCAGCCTCTGCAAGTCTGCCCACCATCTGGGTCCCATCACAGAAGTGGGGCTTTTCCTACATTAATCTCTGATGAGCTTGGCCCGGCTTTCATTTCAAAAGGCTCTACTTCTTTTCTGTCTTCCACCAGCCCCTTCTTTACACCCCCTCCCCAAAACAGGACTAAAAATCATGCCTTCTCCCTTCCTTGGTTTCCCAACCCAGCTGGGGCCAGAGAAAGCTTTGAAATTGGAGCAAGACTTGGGATGGGGAGGGAGGGGATACTGGTGTAGCTGGTGGGAAGGGGCTGGAGGAGGAAATGGCCAACTGAGTTCCCAAGCAAGGGGGAGAGAACAGAGATCTCTTGGATGACCAGCTCTGGCTCCTTGGGGTCTCCACTCCTTTTCCTCCCATTTCCCCGCCAAATGTCTGTCCTTTACCCCAGTCTTTCCTCTTCTTGTCCTGCATCCCTGGGACAGAGACCATCTCCTAGCACTTCCACTCCTCCCCTGGGTGTCTCTATAGATGAGGCACAACTCTCTTAATGTGTCAGGAAATGAGTCCCGACAAAGGCTGGCCTGTTATCAGCTGCCTGAAAATGGACTTCCAGGGTCGTGAGCCTGGACATTGGGGACCTCAGTTTTCTAACTTCTTTCCTTCATGTTTGCAATATAATGCTGGAGACCAGTGCAGAATGGATGTGTGCCAAATGCAAAATGGGACATTGGGCTAACCAGGATAGGTAGAGTTTCATGT